CCAAGGGGAGCGGTGCTGACAATTACGTATTTACATTTAGCTACGCAAAACCTGTCGTGTCTACTGTAAATCAGGCACAGTAACCACTTTATTTTCTATGAGCTCTGCGATGTTATTTTCCATGCACTTTTTAAGGTAGAGTATTTTTATCCTTATTTATTAAATTTTTTATTAAAGTAGACTTCACGACATTTGCGCTAGTTGCACCCGGACACCGCACTGCATGCGTGAATGGTACCTACGTGGTAGCGTTTAAAATCATTGTTATTGGTTAAAAGTATGTTTGGTTTAAAAAAATGAAAATAGTATTATTTGAGCGATTGCCAAAATTAAAATAAAAGTATTTTTGTTTAATGATGAGTAGCAGCATTAAATGGCCGTGTACTGGAAAATATTTCTACGTGTTTTATTGGCTGAAGCAATAAAAAGCTTATGATATAATACGATTTACTATTTTGTTTAATAAAATACACAAAGCATTAAATATCCGTTAGAATACCTAATACTTTTACGCACGTTAGTAATTATAATAGTTTGTTCACAGTTTGCAGCATGGCGAGGCCCACGTGCAAGGCCAATATTGACCTGCTACTGCTAAATCCGCAGCGGTCTACGATGAACACACAGGCGCACTGCGCCTGCTGCAGGAAGCTTCAGTATGGCTACGTGTTCCAGCGGGCGACATCGCGTGACGCTAAATTGCCTGCGAGAACGACCCAAAAGCGACCGCGCTCTAAAAAAAATCTCCCCCACCGGACCCAGCAGAGGTGCACCGTCAGAATTGTCTAGCTACTGTTATAGAAATCATGGGCCCTGATTGGTACCCCCAAAAATAAGAAGTAGAGCATCCACCCTCGCAAGCCGACTGCCCGAAACACCAAGCACATCGAGCAAACGAAGCAGTACAAGAGCAAGTAATTTGACGGAGAAAAACAAATACCCCTAAAGCCCCCTTTATCCCGCTTATCTTTGTGTTTGTATACAGTAGTGCTTACACACCTAACGAGCGTAGCGCGTTTCAAATAATATTTAGCACATGGTATCTACTGTGGAGAGCCGCAAGCTCACCATCCCTATCAGCATAGGCGTTACACGTACACTCGCTCACTTGGACAAGGGCAACACCACGCTATCTGTATCGTCAACGTTCACAGCGTAAATTCCACTAATGTGCGCCCACAAATTGAAACTACAGAATTGTGTAAGCACTATGTGCGACGAATAAGTTGTTGCCGATAGGAGCAGTGCAGACTGTACCGGTAGGCGCGGCAGGTCTACGTATATCTGTACGTACTACTGCGCTGTCCATAACGGCCGAGATAAGAGCTCGGTTGAGTCGCGGATGGGTTTAATGTGTACCTACCGCGAGCGTATATATTTGCTTTGACTACTGCTAACAGACGCCTGGTCAGCTGGCCTGTATCAGGTTGCCTCCATCACCGCGGGTATGACCCGTGCTCAATTAGTGACGCGCTTGATCATATAGACGGATACATCATAAGCGTAGGTACAGTAAGCTAGCACGACGATGCAAGAGTACTGAGATCGCAGCAGTGACCCAATGCATGGGTACAACCACACCATTCGCGACATTGCGGGATATACACGAACATATCAAATAGCACGCCGAGCAGTTAGGTAGACAGCGAAAGTACTTCATCTAATGTACATGAGCTACTTTTCGATTCAAGTCTAAGATATCTACGATCTGATAATTTGTCTATAGCCATGTGGCTTCGTAGGTTCGCCATACATATCGGAACCAGTGAATGTCAATCGGAAAGGATCTACGCCCCTCGGTCAGGCCGTAGCTACGCAAATTAGTCAGTAATTAGTCAGCTTTACAAGTAAGATCAATGCATGCGGCAGATCGTGGAAAGACCCTTCAGTAATATCATAAAGAGCTCAGAGGAACAATTTTAAGGCATAATATTGGTGTTTGTGGCAAACATCGGCAAATACTACCTGTCCTAAAAGATACTTCGCGCGAGGAGTCGACCAAACCTTGCTCTAAAAGACCGTCGCAATCAAAGATATGGTGTCGACTGCCTCACGGCGACGACGTGCAGATGGTAAGCTATTTGAGTAGGCTTATTTACTCCAGCCAAACTGGGATTCCTCACCGATCTATGCCAATTTAGGATCATCATTGTTACTGACACGTCTCCTGGACAGCATATTTAAACTTTGCAGCCACGCGCATCTCCGATTCGTGTCATTTTGGGAGCTATGCGCTCAAATGGGGTTATTTGCAAAACCTTCCCGGGTAAGATGGTGCTCATCTTGCGGATCACGTTAAACCTTGGTCATGTCTCCCATAACATGAACACTAAGGATATTAGAGAACTTTCGGGAGCGTTTGAGTTTCAATTTCAGATGAAGTAATCGTCTACCTATGCATCTGAAAGTGAATCTGAAACAACCTTTTCGGTTTCTCCAATGGCCGGTCGTTTCAAAACGAAAAGAAGCAGCAAGCTCGATCGCCACCAAACGCATTTCCCTGCTTTGTTTCTCCGGTGACACTGGATCCTCTGCGCTCGTAGGATGAACGAGGACATTGGCAACTTAAAAGGAGCTTCTGGCTCTAGTGTAATCCCAGTAAACGCTAACAAGGTCCCGGGTACCCAGCTTGCTACCACAGTGGACAAGAGCAATCCTGCGTCTCGCAAAAAAATTGCTGCTGTCGACGATGTTGTACTTCTACGAGCTGTCAACGCTTTTCAGCCATGGCGAGCTCCTGTTGGTACGGCAAAGGAAATTATGAAGGTGTTTGATGATATTGCTGTTCACTGTGGCGCCCACCCCGAAATTGGTGTGAATAAGCGTGGTACAGCCCTGCGTACTCGCTTCATTACGTTGTTAAGAGAGTTAAAGAGAGATCAATGCCAGTCTATGCGAAGGTCTGGATTCGTAGAGCAGTTTGGAGAGCGGGATCGACTTTTGCTTGATATAATTGCCCAGACCGACGACTGGAACGAGAAATTGGAGGCTACCAGCAAGATTAAGGAAGCGAAGCAAGTAGGACTTGAGAGTTCAGGTGAGCTCATGCGGCGCCTTGCAATGAATGAATCCGTTGCCGGCGACGACGACGATGAGAATGACGACGGCGAGGAGGACTCAGATGCAGCTAGCAAGGTGGGGCGTAAGCGTTCTGCTCAACTAGGAAGCGCTTAAAAAGGTAAGATTACCAAACGAGAACGTTTGGCTGTTGTCATGGATGCTCTTACGGGCAGCTTGAAGTCGACTAGTGAAGATGATGGAAATAAATACGAGTTCAAGGCAAAACGATTAGCGTTTGAGCAAGACCAAGCTGAAAAACAACGTCTTCATGAGGCTGCAGAAGCAGAAAAACGCCGTCAACATGAGCTGGACCTTGAAACTCACCGCCAAAAAGCAGATGAAGAACGTGAAAAGAGGATGTTTGACTTCCTCAAATGTAGAAAGAATCTACGGAGTAGCGATGCCCAGGTAGATATCAATTGGCGGTGGACTTAACCCGAAAAACATGGAAACTTGATTGCTGAGTGGTTGCATGCATGTGTGGCAATTAGTAAGTAGGACGCCAACGAAAAAAAGATTCCCCACAGCGGTTTGCCGTGCCCGATTCTTCCTGTCCCAGTTGAGAAATTCCCATAACGTTTTCACGCGGCCAAAGCTCCACTTGACGCTTTCTCTTACGCTGCTCATGTTACGGTTAGCTTCAGAAGCTGAAGAAGCTGTTGCAATTGATGGTCAACATATATATCGGCTACACCCGTACGCTGGGTTGCCGTATATGAGCTTTCCGCAAAACATGCCACTTTGATCATCCTCCATTAGGTTTAGAATGCCGCTAAGATTGAGCATGGTTGAGTCGTGGCGTCTTCCTTCTAATGAACCAAACAAACTGATAATGATTCCATCAGGGGCTTGGATACTCTGCCAATTAAATCAGTGTCTTCGAGGATGAATGTTGTGTAGAGCTCGCCGGAGGCTTTCGTATCGCGACACAGGTGTCTCTCTTGCACTAGGTCTAGCCACGTACTGCTTGGTGCCATCAATAAAAGCCTAACACGCTCGTAAAGGTGAACCCTTCGCGTGAATAGCAGCAGCGTACTCGGTAATGCGTAAGTGGACCAAATCATTGTTGAAGTAGACTAAATCGCGGTGTTGGTCAACGATGAGCTGTGCGGTTGCTTTCACTACTCGACTGTACGGGCCTGTCCCTCTACCAAACTCACTTGCTACTGTCAACAATTTCGATGGCTCCGAAAGTCGCCGACACAACATCGCTAAAGCTTCAGCACGACACACGCGATCACCTGACGGTGTTGTCACTCCGTCCTCCGGAAGCCGCAGCTCGGTGGCCAGAACCGCCAATTCAGCAATAGAAAAACGATAGCGAACTTTAGCAGTTGAATCGTCTAGCATGATGTCAAATGATCTTAATCGATCAACAGGAGGGGGTGCGTCTCGCAGTCATAAGCAGTTATTTCGTTGCAGCACGGCCATGATTCTTGCGAAGCGCCTCCGGTTTCTCCTAGCCAGGATCCATACAGAAGCAACAACAATGAACGCATCATCCGCAGAAAGCTTCAATGCAACGAACACCATTTGCGAGTGTGGCAATCTCTGTTGAAACCCGCTTTTAGATAGCCTCCGTGGACCTGGAACCTAATCACTTTTGAGATAAGATTGGCGCCCTACCCACCGTCAAACTGAATTTGAAGCTGAAACGTGGTCAATTCCGACCTTCCGAAAGTTCTCTAATGTGTGTAGTGTAGTTTTGGAACGTAGATCACAGTATACATATATATATATATATATATATATATCTAGTTTTGCTCTAAGTAGAAACTCTAAGGCCACCGCAGCGCAGCGGAGGTGGTCAACCCTCTCTACACCAACCAACCATACCCTAGCGTCCGCGAAGAGGCGCCCAGAGCGCTAGTAGTCAACCGCTGGTGATGTGGGTCTGTCCGAGTTACAAAATTGTTGTTTTCGGGATATTCAAACAAATTTACGCGACGCAAGACTCGAACCCGCAACCTTCAGATTCGAAGTCTGATAATAGCATATTATGCTATCCATTGCGCCAGTCACGCATGTTTTATACATTTGCTCCAACAAAACTTGGCTAAACATTTAGCGTACAGCTGAAACTCTAATCCAAAATGTGTGATCTCCTAAACTTGTTCAGAGTAAATGAAACCTTCAGCTAAGCCTGATAGACAATACACACCACAAGCACGCACAACAGCGCTTTCGGGGTAGTCGCGTTTAGTACTGCAAGTCTTTGAAACTAATCGTTCTGGAGGAGGAGTCGATCGTTGTGGAGGAGGATCGATCCCCAAAAGTTCCCCGGCGGCAACCCCTTGTATTCATTTTGGTGCAAAAGCATTTATTTAGTAGCAAAATGCTTTTAGTCTAGCCAATCGGATACCAAGCTAGCGAATTCACCAATCAAAACGCTAGCATTGAGGACCTAAGAATACAGTATCCGAATCGTGTCCTCACTACGCGAGAAAATCGCCACGGAGATCGTTAGAGAAATCTCAGCTCCTAGTTTTCTCCAACTAAATACGTACCTGTTGACACCACTATAATTCCTGCTACACCCAAAACTCAGAAGCCTTTCCGTAAACGTCTCCACCTTTCGAAGCAGCAGGAGCTAGCGATATGTGAGCTCCACAGGAAATAACCTGAGGCTACCAACGCTGCTCTTACTGAGCTCGCATGCACAGATCTGTCGCTATCGAGGGCACCGTCGCAACAAGTCATTGACAGCGTGTTGAAGGCCGCGACGACCATGCGAGGGTTATGCGCGGATTGTTTGGCCCATTAAAAGGTATGTCCTAGATTCCAGCTACACATCTCGACCAAAGCGTCGTCGAGTTCGTTCTAATGTGCGATGACGTACAGGTATCGCTCTCGGGTGAGATGATTACGATGCAGGCGCGCACGCTAGCAAGACGCCTGAGCATCCCGGAGTCGTCGCAGCCAAAATGTACATGGTCATGGCTTCGGCATCTTCACGGAATTCGCTGGCGTAGAGCTTTTGGTGAGTCCGGTGCTGTCGATTTAGACGTTGCAGCCCCTGAAATCGAGCGACTACGCCACGTCATTAGTACATATCCCTACTCTAAATTCTACAATATGGACGAGACCGGATTATTTTATGACAGCGTACCTCGTGGGTCTATGTGCATTGGCGATGCGCCTGCATTAAAGCAGAACAAGTCGCGCATTAATCTAGCCCTGTGCACCAGCCTCACCGGATTTCACAAACTAGCGTTACTATTCATCGGCAAGTCCAAGAACCCGCGCTGGATCAAGGACAAGCTCGGCGACATCAAGTACAGATCTACAGCCAAGGCATGGATGGCGACGGACACGTACCAGTTGTGGCTACAGGATCTAGTCAAAACGATGCAAAACGAAGGCAGACACATATTGCTTCTAGTTGACAATGACTCGTCACATGGTGATGACGGCGTTGCGCTAAGCAATGTTCGTATCGAAAAACTTCCCTTAAGTACGACTTCCAAGCTACAACCGCTCGATCAAGAGATTCTCTACTGCCTCAAACGTGATAATTCTTCGCACCAAAATGAACCAGGCACTGGTAACAATCGATGAAGGTGTGAAAACCCATACAAAGTAGGCATGCTGCAAGGTATCAAATGGTGTGGTACTGCATGGCAGCAACTTCCAGCAACAACGCTCGAGCACTGCTGGATACATTATAGTTTGATTAAGAAAGGTTACCTTCGGTTCATTTTAATCTAAGTCATTTAATTTCAGTTGTGGTCCAGCCTCTGTCACGACAAGTACTTTTAAATTGTATTCATATCAGGACTTCCTTATCGAGGCAAAACAGTGTACGAATTTTGAGGTGAAAGTTGGGGTAGCGGCTGAGACTGTACTGATGAGTATAGCATAGACACAACCAGCATTAAAGGCCCTTATGTCGGAGCCTCTATGGCCACTGACCTCTGCACACATTACTGATGCGTCTCAATTCTGAAATATTGCATACGTCCAGCCCCCGAGTGTTCGACGAGGAATCGGCGGTACGTTTATTGGTGTCATCGTTCGCCTACGGCTGCATTACTAACGTCTATTCTACTGACACCAGGTACCTGTGTAACGTGACTCACGACGGGCGTGAGTAATCGTGTTTCCATGTGTGGCATGGTGACTGACATAATCGCCTCGACATCCTTCTCCACCTGCTCATGAAGAACGCGTTGCAAGACCGCCCGCCGCCTTTGCGTCCAGGAAAGAAGCGACATCGTCGCGTAAGTGCAGCAAATACGGTGAATAGCAGCAAAAGTGGTGGTGAAGGTCGGGGGTTCGATCTCCTCTTCCCTCATGCTTTAAGCTTTCGCGCGTCCTTCGTTTCTCTGTCCGTCTTCCCACCTTAACAGCCGCACGGTTACAATGCTCACCATCCGCCGAGCACACGACCACGCCACCAAGCAAAAAGTGCGATACTTCTCGATTTATGCGTGTCATCCTTGCGCAGGGGCCATGCTAATCTTCTCTGTATCGTTCCAATTTTTACGGATGACCACCGAAATGGTTCCCTCGCGTCACCGACATATAGCTGCTAGCCTTGGGCCTCACATCCAGAACCACTTTCGTCGAAAAGGGAAGGACTACCAGCCCAGTCCGTGCATCCACCAGCATTTCCAGATTAGCTGCGCAATGTCTTCACACGCTTGGCCACGTGTGATGGTCGGGAACACTATCCAGAGGTATCTATCTACCTGGTCAGCAGGCCAGGAAATAGCCGCTTTTGCTACCGCGAGTCTGCTGAGGTAAAGGAAAACGACAGCTGTGAGATTCGAACTCACGCGGGCTGCCCCATTAACTTAGCAGGCTAACGCCTTAACCACTCGGCCAAGCTGTCATCGTTATGCAACAAAAAACATAGATGTCCACTCCCACCCTCATCAGATTCAAATCAACCAAACCAAACTCACGACCACCCCGCACATACCGTCACGACCTGTGCTACCACCCATAGATACGGCGCATACCGTACGCCTTTATCAAATACTGACAACACTAAGAGAGAACATCCACACTCGCCGGCAGCACAATCTTCAATCGTCAAAACATTCAGCGTCTTTCACCTCTGCATGTCTTCGGCTGGTGGCATGTTGGCCACCACCTGCGTACGCTGCTTATGTTCTACCCGCCACGGATATCATCTCGTACATAATACTCTCAACAGGCAACTTGCACGGTCAGACTCAGTGACATCATGCTAGCGGATTCGACAGTTGTTGCTGCTCGTGATGATATCTTCCTATATATTGGTCACAGACACGATTCATACGCGGACAGCAGTCTTCGGGCACCCACTTTACCTACGGCGTCGAGCAGCCGCAAAACCAAGAATTCATCTCGAAAATCTGAATGTTGGGGTCTAGGTATTAGAGGTCGTGGAACAATAATGAAGGGCGGTCAGCATACAACAGAGCGAGCATTGAGTGTGGCTACGGACAGGCTGGTCACGCAAAGTGCACAATAGCAAACTAGCAAACTAGCAAGCTAGTAAGCTAAAGGCATCGGTAAGGAAGTAGTGAGGCAGGAGAGGCAAAAGAAGAGCCCCCAGGCGGGATCGAACCACCAACCTTTCGCTTACGAAGCGAGTGCTCTACCACTGAGCTATAGGGGCTTACGGACCTCGACTCAAAGAGACACATTCACAGCACGAGCACCACATACACCACAATAAAAACATACGCACGAACATGCATACATCGCACTCACCGTCCATGCATACACCATACGTCAACTACTACATCACCGCCCACTCAGCGCATGCCACATTGCCACATCAACTCCTTTCCTTAAAGCTGCTGCGACGCATCGGTAAGGGCGCCGCCACTTCAAACGACGCTTCGATGAGCGGAGATATGTGTGCGAGGTGCTCGTGACGTGGTTTCGTCGTAGAAGTAAAGAAGGGTGAGATGTGGCGGGGTGAGTGGGTAGAAATTGTGGATCTTGTAATGCGTATCGGTGTGTGGATGGAGTCTGCATGTGTTGACATTGGGTTTTGGTATCGGGGGAATAGCTCAGTGGTAGAGCGCTGGATTCCAGTCCCAGCGGTCGGGGGTTCGATCCCCTCTTCCCTCATGCTTTAAGCTTTTGCGCGTCCTTCGTTTCTCTGTCCGTCTTCCCACCTTAACAGCCGCACGGTTACAATGCTCACCATCAGCCGAGCCCACGACCACGCCACCAAGCAAAAAGTGCGATACTTCTCGATTTATGCGTGTCATCCTTGCGCAGGGGCCATGCTAATCTTCTCTGTATCGCTCCAATTTTTACGGATGACCACCGAAGTGGTTCCTACCACACGCCTCGCGTCACCGACATATAGCTGCTAGCCTTGGGCCTCACATCCAGAACCCCTTTCGTCGAAAAGGGAAGGACTACCAGCCCAGTCCGTGCATCCACCAGCATTTTCAGATTAGTTTTTGCTACTGCGAGTCTGCTGAGGTAAAGGAAAACGACAGCTGTGAGATTCGAACTCACGCGGGTTGCCCCATTAACTTAGCAGGCAAACGCCTTAACCACTCGGCCAAAGCGTTAACGTTAACAAACAAAAAAACATGATATCCACTTCCACCCTCATCAGATTCAAATCAACCAAACCAAACTCACGACCACCCCGCACATACCGTCACGACCCTGTGCTACCACCCATAAATACAGCGCATACCGCACGCCTTTATCAAATACTGACAACACTAAGAGAGAACATCCACACTCGCCGGCAGCACAATCTTCAATCGTCAAAGCATTCAGCGTCTTTCACCTCTGCATGTCTTCGGCTGGTGGCATGTTGGCCACCACCTACGTACGCTGCTTATGTTCTAACCCGCCACGGATATCATCTCGTACATATACTCTCAGCAGGGGGGGGGGGGCAACTGGCAGGGTCAAACTGCAGTGAACATCATGGCTGAGGGATTTCCCGACCATGTTTGCTGTTCCAGAAAAAATATCTTTAATAAAATATTGTCACACAAACCACGATTCACCGGGGACAGCCATTTTTGGGCACGAACTTTACCTAGGGGGTCAAGGC